CCTAGAGATTCATAAAATTGTAGCGGAGGACCTAGAGATTCATAGAATCGTAGTGGAGGACCTAGAGATTCATAGAATTGTGGTGGAGAACCTAGAGATTATAGAATTATAGTGGAGGGCCTAGAGATTCATAGAATTGTAGAGGAGGACCTAGAGATGCATAGAATTGTAGCGGAGGACCTAGAGATTCATAGAATTGTAGCAGAAGACATAGAGATTCCAGGAATTGTAGTGTATTACCCTAAAGATTCATAGAATTGTTGCGGAGGACCTAGAGATTCATAGAACTGTAGAGGAGGACCTAAAGATTCACAGAATTGTAGTGGAGAACCTAGAGATTCATAGAATTGTGAATTGGTTTCTCCTAGGGTTCCAAAGCATTGAGACACGGCAGTTAAAGTGGTATCAAACTGCATTCATTCTGCAGCGTAAATATATCCCAGAGATTCCCAAGCACCATTTTGGAAGAGAGCTATATTATATCTTCCCTGAAGGGGAAAAGGGAAGGACCTGATGCTGTTGGTTATTGTGGGAGTTGGAGTTCAAAACACCTGGAGGCCCACGTTTGCCCATGCCTGATCTAGGAGTTGTGGCCCAAACAGGTAACTTCTCAAAGCGTTGAAACGATGAAATCAGAATTCCCTCCAGAAGTGTTTCCTTTCTCTCCAAATGGTTCATCCAGTTGAGATCGAAGGGAACCAGGAGTTGCCGTGGCCGCCCCCGGTTGGACAGCTGGACAGCAATACAAACCACTCGGAGGTGGAGGGGTCCCTCGCCCCTCAGAACATTCGCACCCGATGCCAGTCTTCAAGCACTCCGCCAAACCTCCAGAACGCCAGTCCCAGTTCCCCCGATGCTGCAGCCACGTCTAATTCCTTCGAGTCCGGCGGTGGGTATCCTTAAGCCACAGGGTTTCTAAATGGGAATGTTGATATTATAACCACTCAGACAATCAGACCGTCTAGACAAGGAATGAGAAATTACTAGAGGGGGGTAGGGTGGGGGTTGCATCGATCTGGAGTCTAAATTTATTTATTTATTGTATCTGGAGCGAACCAAGGGTATTTTGCAACCAAGGGTATTTTGCAAACTTGGCAGTTTTCTGTGTGCCCAGGAGGGAGTCTCTCATTTGGTATCAACCATTGACTGAGGTTCTGGGTTTGGGCCTGCCACTTTTGGACTCTCGTTTGCTGAGGTGTTCCTGCAAGTGTCTCTGTAGATCTTAGAAAACTATTTCTTGATTTAAGGTATTGGAGTGCTGGATGATATCTGAACGGGATGGGCCGGAGATGTCATTGCCTTGATTCTTTCATTATTGGCTGCTACTTTGGCAGGCTTAACTTTTGCAGATTTGATTACGCTAAGTAACAAATTTGGAAAATGTTCCGTTCCTGGTTTGAAAGTGTTTATTTCCTGGGTTGCTGTGAGTTTTCCAGGCTGTATGGCCATGCTCCAGAAGCATTCTCTCCTGATGTTTCATCCACATCTATGGCAGGAATCCTCACAACATCTGAATCAGCCAGGCATTGAAGCTGCAAGGCTTGGCAATGCTAATCAAGGTGATTAATTGCAACATTCACATTTGCCTCCAACATACAAGAGTTCTTTCTCCCACCCTGGACATTCCCCAGAGATATAAACCTCACTTGCCTTGTTTCCAACAGACCTCACAACCTCTGAGAATGCCTGCCATAGATGCAGGTGAAACATCAGAAGAGAATGCTTCTGGAACATGGCCATACAGCCCGGAAAACTCACAGGGAGAAAGAACTCTTCTCTGTTGGAGGCAAGTGTTAATGTTGCAATGAATCATCTTGATTAGCATTGCAAAGCCTTGCAGCTTCAAGGCCTGGCTGATTCTGAGGTTGCAATTGGCCGCCTTGATTATTTATTTATTTGCGGCATTTATATGTCGTAAATAAATATATAATATCAGTATTATATATTACTATATTGTATTACACCATTATATTGTAATATTATTAGTAATATTACATGTAATATACAATATATAATTATAGTATTGTATTATTATTAGTATTATATTGTATTACATTATAATATTATAAATATTATATGTATATACAATATATTATATTATATTATATTATATTATATTATTATTATTAAAGCACAGGAGACAAGATAGTAACTGTACCCCCTCCCCCCCTTCTCATTAGCATGTAATGGCCTAGCAGTTTCAAGGTCTGGCTTCTTACTGCCCGGGGGAATCCTTTGTTGGGAGGTTATTAGCTGGCTCTGATTGTTTCTGGTCTGGATTTCCCCTGTTTTTGGGTGTTGCTCTTTATTTACTAATTGACTCCACTTCTCCTTACTGCAATTTCAAGCTCCAAGTTTCTTGTGCCTTGTCTCGTTGACCTGCCTCACAAATTATTATAGCTCTTGAGGGCCCTTCCAAAATGTCTTCTTCACTTTCTGATGTTCATCTCATGACCCTCCATGTTTCTCCACCCAAGGCCAAGCAGCACTGACGAACCTGCTGCCAACTTGCATGGAGAAGACCGGCAGCGCGTGTTGGTCGAGCATGGAGCATGGGCTGGCTTTTGGGGAGCGCGTCAACCCCGCTTTGCCGCTGGAGAGCCAGGCGTGAGTAGGCTCTCCAAGGTGCTGCAATGGCATGCAACCCAGTTCACCATTCCCGCTGTGTTCTTTTTGGAGGAGGAGTGGTGGGAGCCAATTAATAGGCAAGGGAAGCAGTATTAGAGGTGGTTCGAGGGCTTAAAATGATGGGCCACATGCTTCCCTAGGATGTGGACGCATGCCGCTTACATATTATTAGCTCCATTTTCATAGACTGCTTCTCCAGCTGATGGTGAAGCAGCACCACAGAAGTAGGACTGATTGATCTCCTCCTTCTGCAGGTGGTACCATGGGACCTTGAGCCGGGTCGATGCCGAAGGGCTCCTGCGGCTTTGCAGAGAAGCCAGCTACCTTGTGAGGAACAGCGAGAGCAGCCATGACGCCTTCTCCCTCTCCCTCAAGTGAGTGAACACCTGCGATGCAGGATATTTTGCTTTTATCTTTTTTTTTTGGGGGGGGGGGTTCCTTTACTTCAGCAGGGGCTGCCCTTGAAAACAGCTCGGAAATTCCAACTTGTCCAACGAGCAGCGGCCGGGATGTTAACTGGTGCTCCCTACAGAGAGAGGTCAACCCTCCTGTTCACGGAGCTCCACTGGCTGCCGTTTATCTTCCGAGCCCAATTTAAGGTGCAGGTGCTTACCTACAAAGCCCTGAACGGTTTGGGACCAGCCTACCTGCGTGACCACATCTCCATCTACGAACCCACACGTTCACTACGCTCATCTGGAGAGGCCCTGCTCGTGATCCCGCCTGCATCGCAAGCGTGTTTGGTGGGGACACGAGACAGGGCCTTTTCCGTGGTGGCCCCCTGTCTCTGGAACACTCTCCCCAAAGATCTTAGACAGGCCCCTACATTGGCAGTCTTCAGAAAGAACTTGAAGACCTGGCTTTTCCGATGTGCCTTCCCAGATTAGGAAATCTCCACTACCAAGTCCCATAAGCACTTTATCAGAACCAATGATTGCTGCACATTGCACTTGCCCTATAATATCACCTGTCACATCAGCACTTTTAATCCTGTACCCTTTACTCTGGCCTGGCCCATTTTTATCTTGTTTGATGTACTGTTTATTGCTTGTGGTTTTGTTGTTTTAATACTGCTTTAATTATTTTAATTTTGCTTTAAGTGTATTGTTATGTTGTGTATTGAGGCCGTGGCCTTTGTAAGCCACATCGAGTCCTTCGGGAGATGCTAGTGGGGTACAAATAAAGTTTAATAATAATAATAATAATAATAATAATAATAATAATAATAAAAGGGAGACAACGGCATTAGCTGACCTTAGTTAATCTGTCAAATAAGGAAACATATTTAGAAGTGTAACAACTAAAGAACTAGTTTGTGAAGTAAAAGACATCCTAAAGTTATATTAAGATTTGTTGAAACTGTAACTCGTGAAGCTTTATACCTCAGGAGAAGAGAACTCGGAAACCATTAGGACCCTTCCGTACTCCAAATAAACTTGTTCTTGTTTTAGTAACTCAAGTCTCAGTGTACTATTTCAAGGGGGAAAAAAACCTCGCTACACACCAAAAGAAGCACTACAAAGTGGTAGCAGTGAATCTATTTGAAAATAGGGGAATACATTACTAAACTAAATAGGAAACCCTTATTAGGTTGTTGTAGGTTTTTTCGGGCTATATGGCCATGGTCTAGAGCAGGGGTCCTCAAACTAAGGCCCGGGGGACGAATATGGCCCTCCAAGGTCATTTACCCGGCCCTCGCTCAGGGTCAACCTAAGTCTGAAATGACTTGAAAGCACACAGCAACAACAACAACAATCCTATCTCAACAGCCAAACGCAGGCCCACACTTCCCAGTTTATATTTGTTAAAATTGTTCTTCATTTTAATTATTGTATTGTTTTAAGTGTTTTTTGCACTACAAATAAGATGTGTGCAATGTACATAGGAATTAATTCATGTTTTTTTTCAAATTATAATCCGGCCCTCCAACAGTTTGAGGGACTGTGACCTGGCCCTCTGTTTAAAAAGTTTGAGGACCCCTGGTCTAGAGGCATTCTCTCCTGACGTTTCGCCTACATCTATGGCAAGCATCCTCAGAGGTAGTGAGGTTTGTTGGAACTAGGAAAAAGGGTTTATATTAATCTGTGGAATGATCAGGGTGAGACTAAGGACTCTTGTCTGCTGGAGCTAGGTGTGAATGTTTCAACTAACCACCTTGATTAGCATATAATGGCTTGACAGTGCCTAGAGCAAACTTTTGTTGAGAGGTGATTAGATGTCATTGTTTGTTGCCTCTTTGTTGTTTTGCTGTTGTAATTTTAGAGTTTTTAAATACTGGTAGCCAGATTTTGTTCATTTTCATGGTGTCCTCCTTTCTGTTGAAATTGTCCACATACTTGTGGATTTCAATGGCTTCTCTGTGTTGCCTGACATGGTGGTTGTGAGAGTGGTCCACCATTTCTGTGTTCTCAAATAATATGCTGTGTCCAGGTTGGTTCATCAGGTGCTCTGCTATGACTGATTTCTCTGGTTGAAGTAGTCTGCAGTGCCTTTCATGTTCCTTGATTCGTGTTTGGGCACCCTTATTAATTGGTGGCAGCATAGCCTAGTACCTCACAGATGGTGGCAGCATACTAGAGTGAATATCAGACAACAAAGAGGAAGCCTTTACAACCCTCATATATATATATATATTACAGCTTTTGCTGAGTCATTGCATCCATTTAACCATTTCAGTGCTTGACTCATATTTTTGTAATTAAAAATATCTAGTTAATTTTTTAAAAAAAATCTGACATTCCCTCCTTTAGGAGCAGCCAGGGCTTTCTCCACATGAAGCTCTTACCAACGGATGACAACAAGTTCGTCCTGGGCCAGCACAGCCCTCCCTTCGATAACGTCCCGGAAATCATCCACCACTACGCCAGCCACAAGTTGCCCATCCAAGGGGCAGAGCATATGTCCTTGCTCTACCCGGTCACCACACAGCCCTCCAGTTGCCTTGTGGCTGAGCAGTGATTTCGGAGGAGAACCACAAACTGGTGTGTACTGGGACCAAGCAGGAGTGGGACTTCTGGACTACAGTTGGCTGCAGTGGTTGGGAGAAGAGGAATCTAAGGAAGGTTATGGTTGGACGTCGTGGCCAATTAAAACGGGACAAATCTGGGACTCCGGATACAAGAACTTTTCTGCCTTGTGATGTATTTGCATTGATACTTTGCATGCTGGACTCCCGTTTAGTTGGCCTATTCACCTATTGCGATGAGAAGGATCAATACTCAGACTGGAGATGATGTATTTATTTGGCACCATGAATGTGTCATAGAATCCTCCCTGGTTCTGCTTATTGGCTGTGGTGTCCGCAGGCTTTAATGTTGACATAATCCAATGTCGCATCAGAATGGACATTTATTTATTCAAACTGGAATTTTCCAGTTGGAAAAAAAAAACTACACTACATTGCCCAACATATCATCCTTTCTGTGTACAGGATAACAAGAGAAGCGTGCCTCATTGGTGATGCATTTGATCAAGAGAGAGGAAGCAGCCAAGTTGCCGAAACTCTGCCTGATTTCAGAAATGTGCTCCTAACTATATTTCAACTATATTCTCTCTCTTGCCGGACTGCCATTTGATGCAACATATGCCCAGCTAGGAAGATCCTCAGAGTTTTCTGTGAGCAGATTGCAATGGCAATGGGATTTTTCATTTTGGCAAGTCTGTGGATTTACGAGGGTTGAATGAAAAGTAATGCCTCCACCTTCATTACTTGGGTTTGGATAGGAATATTTTAATAAATCAATCCACCTTCATTACTTGGGTTTGGATAGGAATATTTTAATAAATCAGTCGCGGAAATAATCCGTAGAATGTGCTCTTTAACTACAAATATTCACTTTTCGGCATAATCACCAGACAATTGGGAAACATTTCTGCCAATGATGAACAAATTTTCTGAAGCCGTCACAGAAGAAGTCGACACTCTGTTTCCGCAACCCATCGTGCACAGATCTTCCGATAGCCAAGCAAAGCAATAATGTGACCCACACGTTCTTGTGAAATGCCAATTATGCTTGAAATTTCTCTCTGAGTGATACGACGATCGTCCTGAATCAATCTGTCAACATTTTGCTTGTGAAACTCGGTGGTTGTTGTCACAGGACGTCCAACTCTTTGTTTGTCACGCTAGTTAGATGTTCCCACCTCAACATCTTTAAACTTACTCGCCCAACGACCCACAGTACTCACATCAACACAATCACCATCAACAGCTTGCATTCTCTGATGAATCCCCTTTGGGTTGACACCTTCTGCGGTCAAGAATTCAATGACTGCACGTTGCTTAAGTCGCATTGACTGACCGTCTGCGCAGGGTTCCATACTTTGCACTTTAACAATGCAACCCTTCAATGCTAAGGCTTGCTGCCAAAATAGAACTGTAGAGGAGAGTCTACTGAACAAGCCAGTACTTGCCACATACCAATACTGACATCTGTTGAGGAGTTACGAAGGTGGAGGCATTACTTTTCATTCAACCCTCGTAAGACACTGTTGGATGGCACACATGGTTCCTGTAGCTGGCTGTGACATCTCTGGTGGCTTTACTGAATACGTCCAAACCTGGCAGCTCTTTAGAATGTGTGAATGGACTGCAACCAGCTCTCCTGGCATCTGAACAATTCTGGACGACCCGTGGATGAGCCCATAATCCATGAAAGGTTTCTTCTCTGGAGGACCATGGAAGGAGGCAAAGGAGGAGACTTTCTTCAGGGCCAGATGGCTTTGCAAAAGGCAACTTTCTGTGTCCCTGTGATAAAAGCATTTTGCATGCATCAGGATCTTTATTATTCCCTATTTACCCAGGATGCGTCGTGAAGCCTTTGTTTCATACCAGTCAGGGAGACTTTTGTTCCTGGCTTCTAGCTATATAAATAAAAATGTAATGTTCGTTTGTGGGATTAACATAACTCAAAAACCACTGGGCGAATTGACACCAAATTTGGACACAATACACTTCGCATGCCAACGGGTGACCGCCATTCATAAAAACACTGATAAACACAGCAGAAGAGACTTAAAAAGCCAAAAAAAAAATACATTACAACACAGGCGCATAACCACATAAATACGCAAATATATTCACACATACACAAATATATACCCACACAAACACATATACAGACTAGGCCACAGCAGTGCATGGCAGGGGACAGCTAGTATATAAATAAAAATGTAATGTTAGTTTGTGGGATTAACATAACTCAAAAACCACTGGACGAATTGACACCAAATGTGGACACAATAGACCTATCAGGTCAACAAGTGATAATCACCCCTAAAAACACTGAAAAACTCAGAGGAAGAGACTTCAAAAGCCAATTAAAAAAACATTACAACACATGTGCACAACCATATATATATACACATACAGAAATATATACACAAAACACATATATACAGACTGGGCCACAGCAATGCATGGCAGAGGACGGCTAGTCATAAATATCTGATATGCAGGATGGATTTTCATTCACTGGACCAAACCCTTGTCATGTTTCCAAAGCAAATAATTGGAGATTGTGTTGTTGAAGGGTTTCAGGGCTGGAATCACAGGGTTGCTGTGAGTTTTCCAGGCTGCCTGGCCATGTTCCAGAAGCATTCTGTCCTGACGTTTCACCCACATTTATAGCAGGCATCCTCAGAGGTTGTGAAGTCTGTTAGAAACTAGGAAAAGGGGGTTATATATCTGTGGAATGATGTTCCTGGTGGGAGAAAGAACTCTTGCCTGTCTGAAGTAGATGTGAATGTTGCAATTGGCCACCTTGATTCGCACTGAATGGCCTTGCATCCATTAAATTCACAATTGCCTCCAGCAGACAAGAGGTCTTTCTCCCACCTTGGATGTTCCACAGATATATAAACTCCATTTTCCTAGTTTCCAACAGACCTCACAACCTCTGAGGATGCCTGCCATAGATGTGGGCAAAACGTCAGAAGAGAATGCTTCTGGAACATGGCCATACAGCCTGGAAAACTCACAGCAACCCAATGATTCCAGCCAACAGACCTCACGACCTCTGAGGTAAAGAGTGAATGTTGTAATTAGGCTTGATTAGCATTGAATGTTCTTGCAGCTTCAAGGCCGGGCTGCTTCCTGCCTGGAGGAATCCTTTCTTGGGAGGTGTTCCCTGGTCATTGAAATACACAAACATGCGGACAACTTCAACAGAAAGGAGGAAACCATGAAAATAAAATCTGGCTACCAGTATTTAATAAACACTAAAATTAGGGCAGTAAATAAATTCTAACACTCCAAAAAACGAGGGAATTCCAGATATGAAACAATCTGTGCCAGCTAACAGCTTTCATTTTAACTCCCATGGCTATGCAATCATGGAAGTTGTAGTTTTACAAGCACTTTAGCTTTCTTTGCTGCACTGGTGTCGCACCAAACTACAACACCTATTTTTTTTTTGTCGTGTCAGGAGCGACCTGAGAAACTGCAAGTCGCTTCTGGTGTGAGAGAATTGGCCGTCTGCAAGGACGCTGCCCAGGGGATGCCCGGATGATTTGATGTTTTATCATCCTTGTGGGAGGCTTCTCTCATGTCCCCGCATGAGGAGCTGGAGCTGATAGAGGGAGCTCATCCGCCTCTCCCCGGATTCGAACCTGCGACCTGTCGGTCTTCAGTCCTGCCGGCACAGGGGTTTAACCCACTGTGCCACCGGGGGCAGTAAATAAAATCGGGGCAGTAAATAAAGACCAACACTCCGAAAACGGGAATTCCAGACAAGAAACAACCAGGGCCAGCTAACAGCTTTCATTTTAACTCCCATGGCTATTGCAATCATGGGAGTTGTAGTTTTACAAGCTCTTTAGCTTTCTTTGCTGCACTGGTGCCGTACCAAACTACAATGCCTATGATGCCATCGCATTGAGCCATGACAGCTAAAAGTAGTGCCAAATGGCAGTGTAGTTGCACACAAGATTTCTAGTCCATTGAGCAGCCTTGGTGGGGATGATGGGGTTTGCAGTCCCCTTGTTTTTGGAAGGGTGGCACATCAATGTGTGGGCGCCGGCTGCAAGGCACAGTGAGCCTGCTATGCTCCGGCTGAGTCTTTCCTTTGAGGCAGGCAAGCAGCCAGTCCCTGTCACGATGCGGCCGCCTACCCGCTGGGATGTGGGGGCCGCGGAGAAGCTGTGAAGCCTTGGAAAGCCTGCCGGTGGTGCTGCCTAGGAAGGGAGAGGCAGGGATGCTTCCAAAGTGAATCATCATCCTGAGGACTGACTCTTTTGCTGGCTGCATAACAAGGGTGGGCAAGGGCCTGGATTCGGTTTCAGATGGGGAGGAGGGAAAGGCAAAGCCAAAAATAGCCACACATTTCAACTCCAAAGTTCTTGCTGCTAATAAGGCTCAGCGGAGGCACCGAATCCTTTTGGAACCGAGCCTTGGAAAACACCGAAAGCTTGGAAAACACCAGATGAAGGTATCAGTAAGAGGAGGAGGTAGTTGTATGGGGAAGCCCAGAAGGCTGGATTCCATCCCATAAGAGCCAGAGTGCATCTTCACTGGAGAACAGTGGTTCTCAACCTTCCCAATGCCGTCACCCCTTGATACAGTTCCTCATGTTGTGACCCCAACCATAACATTATTTTCGTTGCTACTTCATAACTAATTTTGCTAGCGTTATGGGTCTTTTTGCCGTGACCCCTTAATAGAGTTCCTCATGTTGTGGTGACCCCCAACCATAACATTATTTTCGTTGCTACTTCATAACTAATTTTGCTAGCGTTATGGGTCTTTTTGCCGTGACCCCTTAATAGAGTTCCTCATGTTGTGGTGACCCCCAACCATAACATTATTTTCGTTGCTACTTCATAACTCTAATTTTGCTTCTGTTATGGGTCTTTGTGCCGTGACCCCTTAATACAGTTCCTCATGTTGTGGTGACCCCCAACCATAACATTACTTTTGTTGCTACTTCACAACTGTAATTTTGCTATTGTTTTGTATCGTCATGTAAATATCTGATATGCAAGATGCATTTTCATTCACTGGACCAAATTTGGCACAAATACCCAATACGTCCAAATTAGAATACTGGTAGGGTTGGGGGGAATCGATTTTGTCATTTGGGAGTTATAGTTGATGGGATTTATAGTTCAGCTATAATCAAAGAACATTCTGAACTCCACCAATTTTATTTATTTATTTAGAAGTTTTCTATACCGGTCTTCTCACCTCTACGAGGGACTCAGGCCGGTTTACAGCATATATGCAAATTACAATAATATACAAAAACAAAGTACATCAACATTACAGATTAAAATCGTACAGTAAAAACATCATCATCTCATTACCCAAGCCAAATCATCATACAATCACAGTCATAGTCACAGTTCATCCACCTCCTTCCATGTGGACGAAGATTATGAGATCAGTCGTTAAAAGCCACATTCCACAGCCAGGTCTTTATTAGTTTCCTGAAAGTCAGGAGAGAGGGAGCAGATCTAATCTCTAGTGGGAGGGAATTCCAAAGCCGGGGAGCCACCACTGAGAAGGCCCTGTCCCTTGTTCCCACCAGACGCGATTGCGAAGGAGGTGGGACCAAGAGCAGGGCCCCTCCGAAAGATCTTAATAATCTTGATGGTTCATAGGGGAGAATCCATTCGGACAGGTAGACTGGGCTGGAGTCGTTTAGGGCTTTATAGGTCAAAACCAGCACTTTGAATTGTGCCCGGAAGCTAATCGGCAGCCAGTGGAGCTGGCGTAACAGAGGGGTCGTATGATCTCTGTACCCAGCTCCTGTTAGCAGTCTGGCTGCTGCTCGTTGGACTAGTTGAAGCTTCCGAACAGTCTTCAGAGGCAACCCGACATATGTTGCAGTAGTCTAGACGGGATGTAACCAGAGCGTGGACCACCGTGGCCAAGTCAGACTTCCCAAGGTACGGGCGCAGCTGGCGCACAAGTTTTAATTGTGCAAAAGCTCCCCTGACCACCGCCGAGACCTGGGGTTCCAGGCTCAGCAATGAATCCAGGAGAACTCCCAAACTGCGAACCTGCGCCTTCAGGGGGAGTGTAACCCCGTCCAACACAGGCTGTAACCCTATGCCCTGTTCGGCCTTTCGACTGACCAGGAGTACCTCTGTCTTGTCTGGATTTAGTTTCAATCTGTTGTCCCTCATCCAGTCCGTTACAGCGGCCAAGCACCGGTTCAGGACCTGAACAGCCTCCTTAGTAGCAGGTGGAAAGGAGTAACAGAGTTGGACATCATCTGCATACATATGACACCGAACCCCGAAACTCCGGATGATCTCTCCCAACGGCTTCATGTATATGTTGAACAACATAGGGGACAGTACAGAGCCCTGCGGAACCCCACAGAACAAAGGCCATGGAGTCAAGCAGGAGTCCCCCAATAACACCTTCTGGAAGCGCCCCTTGAGGAAGGACTGGAGCCACTGCAGAGCAGTAGCCCCAAGGCCCATCCCCACGAGACGTCCCAGAAGGATACCGTGGTGACGGTATCGAAGGCCAAAGAGAGGTCCAGCAGAACCAACAGGGACACTCCCCCCCTGTCCAATTCCCGGCGAAGATCATCCACTAAGGTGACCAAGGCTGTCTCGGTACCATGCCCCGGCCTAAAGCCAGACTGCACCGGATCCAGATAATCCGTGTCTACCAGGAACTCCTGGAGTTGCAAGGCCACCACACGTTCCAGGACTTTGCCCAAATAGGGGAGATTGGAAACTGGCCGATAGTTGACAAATTGAGTGGGATCCAGTGATGGCTCAACAATGGAATTGAACCAAACACGGCACACAGAACTCCCATGACCAACAGAAAATACCAAAAGGGTTTGGCGGGCATTGACCTTGAGTTTGGGAGTTGTAGTTCACCTACATCCAGAGAGCACTATGGATGCAAACAATGATGGATCTGGACCAAAC